TAAACACAGCCTGCAGTTCAATCCAGTTCAGCCAAAAAGTCTTGGAATGTTTGTCACATGACTCTTGGTCGTATGAATGAGTGCAGACTTTTATGTTTTTTACACAATCCGGTCACTGCAAATTATTTATATTTGGTGAAATTTTAAACGAGAGATAATATAAATTTAAGAAGATGCCACATTTCAAATTCAGAATGGTTGGCAGTCATGAGATATCTTATTTCTTTCCTTCTTTTTTATTTTCTGTCAGTGATGCTTTCTCTCTGCTACGCCACAACATCCATCTACTTGCGGTTGCTAATTCAAGATACTACCGGATTGAGGACAGGGCAGCACCACTGTTGGGTCATAAAAGTCAATGATAGTGATATTTATTTACGAGGCTAAATTAGCTCCAGGAGGGGGAGTGCATATGCTGAGGTAGAAATCAACATAAATATTCTTTTAATCATGCTCCATGTTGCAGAAAATATAATTAAATTGTAGCGTTGCATCGAGTGTCGCTTATAGCAACACACGCACTCCTGTGTGTCCTCCGCCTGTGGGTGTATTGTGTGTTTGTGAGCGCCGTGCGGTAAAGGAGCTTAGGCATAGTCAGAAGTGTTAGCTCTGGGGCACAGGGTTGCCGCACAGTTGCATCACACATCAGAAATGACAAGCTCCAAATTCTCCATGGGACTGTGTAATCTAAACCGGTATATCACTGTCACTGAGTAAAGAAAAGCAGCCTTTGTTTAAGCCAGATAGCGCGCAGCTTCCGTGCTTCAAGCATCTGTAGGATATCTTCCTTTTTGCCAAAGTTTTCCACTGCTGCAAGGCAAATATAGTTACATACTCTCATTCTATTGAGGCTAATGACATTTCTTTTAAGTATGTAGCATATGTAAGTTAAAAAGCAGTGCTGCATCTTTGGTTTCTGAGCGAATCCACTGTTGCTGTTGGACCATGTTTTAGGCTGCTAACTACAAATGATGTGTGCTTTTGTTCTTGTGTATATTTTGTCGTGCAGTGAGACAGATTTTCCATCTTCTGACATTGGCTCGTAGTTGATGCAAACTTGCTCATGTCCGTCACTGGGAACATTTCGTGCTCGTTATTCATTTGGTTTCTAAGAACTTTTAAAGAGAAGCTGTGGCATTTGAGATTTGGGAATTAACTGACGATAAATACTCAAGCCGCATTAGATATTAAAAAAATTGAAGACAAACATCATGGGTAATGTGAATTTGGTCTGTTCTTTCATTAAAAATGTTACAGTTCAATATTTGACTTAGAAAATATCCAGTGGCAGATTTGCTGTGAGTGAACCAGCACTGAAATGTCTTTATTAACCCTCTGAACTTTGAGTAGCTTCTGCAGTTTTCCGCTCCGATCACATTTTTACTCATTTTTCATTGCAATATGAAGTCCAGCACTTCTATGGAAACAGCACAACCGTGGCTAGAAGCAGCGAGAACTCAAACATGTCTTTTTGCAGTATGTCAAAGTGAAAATGTAAAAAAATAAAAATAAATACAAAAAATTGAAAATTGAGCATCTTTGAATATATATTACCACTATTGCCTCGCAGCAAGAAGGTTGCCGGTTCGCGTCCCGGTGGGGGCACCGGAATCTTTCTGCGTGGAGTTTGCATGTTCTCCCCGTGCAGCGTGGGTTCTCTCCGGGTTCTCCGGCTTCCTCCCACACAGTCCAAAAATATGTTGAGGTTAATTGGTGATTCTAAATTGTCCGTAGGTGTGAATGTGAGTGTGCTTGGTTGTCTGTCTCTAAGTGTAGCCCTGTGATAGACTGGTGACCTGTCCAGGGTGTCCCCTGCCTTCACCCTGAGTCAGCTGGGATGACTCCAGCCCCCCATGACCCTAGTGAGGATTAAGCGGTGTATAGATAATGGATGAATATATATTTAACAATAAATGATAAAACCTGGAATCAACAACAATCGACAACATTTTTATCGTGGCCACAGGTGTTACCAGTACTTAAGGACAAGAGTGACACTACATGCTATAGATTTGTTAGTAATTCAGTTTTTTGTCTCCTGTCCGCGACATAAAACTGCAGTTGAGCTTAGTTTAGCCAAAAAGTCTCTTAATTTTTGTCACAGCTGATACATAAATGGCTTCCCAGTTGTGGCAATGAGGACAGAATTTTTAGTTTTTTAAAGAATCGGATTACTGCAAACAGTACATTTTTGGCAATTTTTTTTAAATGAACGGTGTAGAACAAAGTGAGTTTGATGATATATCCTGATTTTAGAGTTGAAGTTAAAGTTGGTAAATGTTTCTGACCAAATGGCAAGATAAGTTCAACGACTATCAGAGTTTAACATCCGACAATTCTCTCTGCTTTTACACTTTAAATGGTGTCATTTTGGCAGCTTTGTAAAGACAGCATGCATCTTCAAACCACTGGGGTTAAGAAGGAAAAGATTGATTTTATAACATAGCTTTGGTAAAAAACAAACAAAGGAAAGAGATAAAATGGTCACTGTGATGGTGCGTTGCGATTGTGTGCTGAAATAAAGGTACTGATGTCTGATATCAGCCTGAAAAATGTACAGTGTGCTTTCAAAAACACTGAAAAAATAAGCCTGAGCTTGGTCTATCCTAATTGAGGCACCATTACTGGCCTTTTGTTTCACTGGTAAGTTTTTTTTTTTCCGGAGTTGTTTGATGTAAACAAGAGCAGCTTAAAGCT